CATCATGTCATGGGACAAGCTCAAAGGACTGCTGCCGGAGCTGTCCCACACCGCCCTGGAGAAACCAACGGGACGGCTCGTAGACTTCAACGGCCACGAGCTTCGCGTGCTAGGTCGAGCACGGGTGGACGTCTCGTTCCGGGGACACAAAGCTCGCCTACCGCTAACCGTGGTGGAGGGCCATCGACCCACCTTGCTCTGCCTGCGCGATCTAACACAATGCAAATCATTCAGATTATTAGCCAACAACATAGCATCATCCTCATATAGAAATACTTGTATAATCATACTCACAAACAACATTGCTCTAACATCGCCCATTAACATTCTTTAAGCAGTTATCTATTACAGTTACATTACACAGTCAAGGGAACAGCACATATCCTAATCTAACTCTATTCAGTGTTGAGACATTTGCTAAGCGCTCCATATATTCTCATATTTTTCTCATATGCTTTACTTTCAACATACAGATAGGCCTTGGGTTAAGAACCACTTGTTCAGCGACTATTTGAAGTTGTTATGGTACTGAACAAATGGTACTTATAATCAGTCCCTGAAATTCCAACTGTTGCAGCACCCCTGTGGTCACGTGATTGTGATTTGGGTGCTTGGCAATTGGCTTGCACTTATGATGGTTGCAGAATCCCATGGTCATGCAATCACCACTTGAGATTTTCCCTGCTGGCTTCCCACAAGTAAAGTCAGTGGGAAAGCTAGCGAGAAATCCCAGGCCACTCTGGTAAGTTTCTTCTGCCATTTTTTCTCATGAGGAGCCTGCTACAGAGGTTTCAGGGATAATAATAATAATAATAATAATAATAATAATAATAATAATAATAATAATAATAATAATAATAATAATAATAATAATAATAATAATAATAAAAGTAATAAAGTTGGAAGGGACCTTGGAGGTCATCTAGTCCAACCCCCTGCTCAGGCAGGAAACCCTATACCATTTCAGACAAATGGCTGTCCAGTCTCTTCTTAAAAACTTCCAGTGCTGGAGCATTCACTGCTTCTGGAGGCAGGTTGTTCCACTGGTTAATTGTTCTAACTGTCAGGAAGTTTCTCCTTAGTTCTAGGTTGCTTCTCTCCTTGATTAGTTTCCATCCGTTGCTTCTTGTCCTGCCTTCAGGCACCTTGGATCTCATACTCTGTATCACTTGCCTGCCACCCACACTCTCTAGCCCAGTGGTTCTCAACCTGTGGGTCGGGACCCCATTTGGGGTCGATCGACCATTTCATGGGGGTCGCCATTTTTTTTGTCCGCCATTTTTTTCCCCCTTTTCCGGCGGGTGCCTTACCTCCCTTGGGCTGGGACAGCTGGTGGTCGGCCTGCTCTGTCTCTGCCGCTTGCCAGCTACGCCTCGGCCGGCGCAGGGGGCGGAACCACGCATGCGCGGCGCTCCCAGGCAGGGAAAGTCCTCGACTTACGACCGGTTGGGTAGTCCTCGACTTACAACCGGTTTAGTCCTCGACTTACGACCGGTTTAGTCCTTGACTTACGACCGGTTTAGTCCTCGACTTACGACCGGTTGGGGTCGCGGCATTAAAAAGGTTGAGAACCACTGCTCTAGCCCATGCCTGCCTATCCAGTTGCGCTCACACCACAGCATCCCCCTGCATGGCCACACTCATGTGGCACCACAGCACCCCATCCGTCACTTGGCCACACTCCATGGCACTCATCCAGCAGCCTGCTTGCAAGCTGTCCAGCATTTGCGACTTCTTGCTGGCTGATTTTGCTTATTAGAAGCTGGCAGAAAGTTACAAGTCATGATCATGTGAGGTCCTCACTCAATGACTCACAATCCTCACTTAACAACAGCAATGGGGACTTTTGGAATCATGCTTTATGACTGCATTATTTAGCAAAGGGAAATTCCTAATTACTATCATTAAACAAGGACTACTCGTGTATCATTCCCATAAATCTATGAAAGTTCAATTTCAGTTTCACTTCAGATTCTTTCCCAATAATTTCATTACTTTTATGTTTACCGTATATACTCGAGTATAAGTCGACCCGACTATAAGCCGAGGGACCTATTTTTCCACAAAGAACTGGGAAAAAATGGTGACTCGAGTATAAGCCGAGGGGGCATTTTTCAGCACACACATTTTTCTGCCTGGGCTAATCGGCCTCTTTGCAACCCCACCCCTCTGGTAACCGCGCGATTGTAGCACTTTGCACAAAGGAGCAATAGTTGATAACACGCCCCACGTCAGCTGGAAGGGTATTCTTGGATAGTGAGAAGCTGGAACCGGGCGGGCGGGTGAGAGAGGCGGGCAGAAAAAAAGGGGGGGAAATCCACACACGCTCGCGCAGGGAAAGGGGGAAACGGGTGGGCCAGCCGGCTCCCCTCTCCTCTTTGTGTGTGTGTGTTTGTCTCTCTCTCTCTCTCAATTCTCCCCCACCCCAAAAGCGGGGAAAGGCCGACCTTGCAAAAGGGAGGGGGCTTCTCCTGGTTGCGGGGAAGGCTGGAGGTGCGCCTTTCTCGGCCAGCCCGGGTAAATTCGGCCGTATTCTTCAATACGGGCCGGCCCCAGCAGTTCTGGCTGGTTGCCGGCAGTTGGCTGTTCCTCCCTGGCCGCCTCGGCCCCCCCGGCCCTGTCGGTGAGCGCCCGGCAGGGCGCAGCATCGCCAGGCCTCCCCCCTTCGCGCGAGGCATCTGGCGTTCCCCCTCACGCTTGGCTGCAGCGGCCCGGGGTATTCCGTCCCGGCCTCGACACGCAGCGCCGCAGGGAACGGAAGGGAAGGGGGGAGGGCCGTACCTGGAGCATCACAGGCCGGGGCGACGCCGGGAATGAGCTGGGCGGCTGCGGCGGCGGCCGCAGCAGGAACACGCC